TCATCAAGCGGAGTTGGGCGAGTCCAGAAGACGCCTCACTATTTTCATCATCCCTGGGGGAGGTTTCAGTATCTCCATACCCCCATGGGCCACTGTGTAGCCTCGGATGCGTACACCAAACGCTTTGACGATGCCATTCAAGACATTCCCCGAAAATAAAAGTGTGTGGATGACACTCTTCTCTATGACTCCAGTGTTTGCAAGCCTTCTGACATACCTATAATTTTTCGAGACCTGCTTTGAGAATGGCGTGACTCCCAAGGTGAAGAAGTTCAGTTTTTGCCTGAAGGAAGTGTAATTTGTGGGCTTCCACCTGAGGTGAGTGGAATACTACCCCACCGAAGACAAGCTAGCTGCCATTAAGAACTTCCTGATACCTGTGCAGCCCACCATCACTGATATATGGTCTTGGTATGGTCTGATGAACCAGCTCGCACCCTTCATGAGTACTGCTCCAGTGATGCACTCATTCCGGGGCTTGTTGAAGAAACCCACTGGCAAGAAAGTGTACTGGGACCAGCAGCTATAGGGTAAATTTGAGGAGTCAAAAAACACCATCTACACGCTGACCAAGGATGGCCTAGTATATTATGATAAAACAAGGCCTACAGCACCTGTGCCATTTTAAATTGCTGCCATAAATAATCTTCATAAAGTGAATCATGTGACCCACAGCCTCCTCATGCTATCCACACCTAAATTGGGATTTCAGTTACCTTTCAGTCATCATGGAAGATGCACCTCCATTACCGTTAATGGCTACACACACACACACACATTTAAACACCCCACAATTATAAAATCAAAGGTAGATAAAAGATGTTTTCATATTTCTGTTGCTTATCTTTAATTTTGTAAAAATTATTCAGTAATTCTGTAAGTTTTTTAAGCGTTATTCTAGTGTTCTTAACAGATACAGCTGTAGCCAGGTTTCCTGAGGGTGCAGTGTAAGGGTTAAGCTTAAAACTTGTCTCTCCTCAGTTATCATTTATTCATCTCTCACTTTGCTACTTTTCATTCCTCAACTTCCCGAACAGAATATCTCCATCTCTCTTAGGAGTGGATTAAATATTCTCTTCATCCTTTTGTTATTTCTCAGTTTTCCCTAATGTATCTTCTCCACAATTAACGGCAATTTTCACTTGTTCTCTTGACTTTTTCATCATATTCTGTTACTCCCAAAACCGCTTTTTGTTCTCTTTTGGATGTTTTATATCTCTCTCTCATCTTCTAGTCTTTCACTTTTATCCAACTTTATTACACTTGTCACATTTCCATTAACAACTTGAAGCTATTTCCCTCGCTTCATCTATACCCCAATGCTTCTTGATTGTTCAACCACCTTGTTTCTGGTGCATATTTCAACAAATCCTTCCATCTCTCTCCTACCATCCGCAACTGTATTGTATCGTCATTCATCTGAAAATTCACTTTCTAATCTCACAACAACTCCTTACCACCTTAACAGACCCTAATCAGCTCTCTGTCAGACATTGTTTTCAGTTAAAGCACCAATAGATACAGTAAGTCCTCGTATAACATCTCCCCGCTTAACGTTGTCTCGGTACTACGTCGCTACTCTTTAGATACCAATAATTTGTTTAACGTCCCGACGACTCAATTTAACGTAATTTTTGTTTCGTCACGGACTACGTTTTAAGGCGCATCACCCTCTCGTCTGGCCATGCTACGCTCTTTCGGCTTGGTGCGCTACCTCTCATTAGCGGAACATCACAACGTCCCCAAGCGAAGCCAAGCCAGTCTGTTAAGCTCTGTGTGTGCTTAAGTGTTTTTGCTCTAAATACTGTACTCTAATCATCCAAAATGGCTTCCAAGTGCCCATCAAGTGCTACTGATGCTAGAGTTGTGAAGCAGCAGCATAAGATCATTAGCCTTGCTTCGAAAAAAGAGGTTTTAAACCGGGAGGAAGAGTCACTCGCCAGGTCTCAGTGACTTGCCATCCGCCTCCTCTGCTTCACTACCCACCCCACACTCGCTCCACCACCTCCGTCCATCAGTGAGTACAATACAATATTATTTAGTTTATTTATATATTGTAAACAGTATAAGCATACTATTTTCTATAAAAATGCCATTGAATTTCAGTATATATAATGTGTTTCATGGGACAAAGGAAGGTTCAGGAACGTAACTCCCGTATTTTATCTATTTCTTAAGGGGAAAATTGGTCCGCTTAACGTTGTTTTGTATAACATCGCATTTTCAGGAATGTAACCTCGACGTTAAGCGACGACGCCCTGTACTGTATCTTAAACTTTTCACTGTTTCCAATATCTCCGTTCATAATCCCGTAATGTGTACTTTCCATTTTTTCCTTAATTTCAACGCTTTACATTTGGTCACATTCACTACTAGCTTTCACATAGGACACTCACTTTCAAACCCATTCACTGAAATTTGTAACTTTCTTCTGCAATCTGAGCTGTGTCATCTGTAAACACTAGCTGACTCACCCTCCATCTCCGAGCCATATTTCCAATCGTTACACCACCCGATCAATCTGGAACAATGTCAGGTGGGGTTTTTCTGAGACACCACAGTCCCGGTGGATTGAGTTTGCTATCGGAATCGTTGGAATATTTTATCGGGAGGGGGTACTTGCCCGATGAGAGTCCCAATGGATATAAAAATCATTTTCACCCTCCAAATTTTGGTATATTGAGAACTCACTGTACACCATCCCTCTGCCACCCCAGTGAAATATAACCTTCAGAACAAACCTCACAACAAATGCCACCTATAGTAGGAGAAGGAGTGAAGTAACAAATCAATATCAAGCTTAGAGATTCCTTGTGTATACGCTACTGCGTATAAAGTATCAGCCGAGATTGTGATGAAGTGTTTGCATGTATTGTTTCAGACTTTTCCTGTCACTTTCTTCACTCATCTTACACTACTTTCCCCTTCAATTGCTCTCACATGGACTATATGACAAAAAGCAGCACATGGTATAAGTTACCTCAAATCTTTGGTTTAATTTGATTATTACTTATTTCAAAAGCTATGAGAAAACAATACCCCGGTAATAATATTTTGTTATAGCCACTAAATGAAAGTAAAGAATTGGAGCTATTTATTTAATTAGACAACAGTCATTTATGAACTCGATACTTCTGGCAAATGATGCAACTCATAAGAAGCTTCTGAAACATCAATCAACCTACTGTATTTATTTTTCTTTTAGGGAATTCTCAGCTTCTAAATAGACTTATGGTCACAGCTGTACAGTGGTTGATTGAAATCTAAGATGGTTGAATTGGTTTGAGACCTATGTAATCAAGGTCAATAAATTAATAGACTGCAGCATCTCATGTTATGCTTACAAATCTTCTGGCTGTTTATGTAACCCCGGTACGAAGGTGAAGGATAAAATTTCATCAGTTTCTAAATTCCAGTCACAAGTTGGACCCCTGGGGCATAAGATTGTGGCTTCCAGACTTGTAAACTATAGAATTGTGAGTTCTTGATGTAATTGATAAAATCACAAGAACATTTCTGACATGCCTTCTTGGAGGTTCTGTGTATGCCTACCACCTTAACAGTCTTGGGTTTAAGGAGGGGTCTAGCCTGTCACTAACCTCACCACACTAGGCTGCACCACACGAGAGATACAGTACAGTAATAGTTCATAATGAGTCATAGCAAGCTTGCTATTCGAGATAAAAAGGTGAAGTTTGTTGCATTAGCATTGTAAATACATCACCTATAAATAGTTTTATTTAAGTAATCACAATAAAATAATTAATTCATTACGTAAGCATGAGTATGACACAAATTGTAGTGCATGGTTGCCACTCAAGCTCCCAAATGCGAATATTCCTCGCTCAAAGTTTCTATATTTTTTACATAAATTATATTGTACATAGTGTGTCTATAAAAGCTTATTATTTTCGAAATTCATATGAAATTATAACTGTAAATTATTGATTAAACGTACAGGTAATATATAAAAATATTACATACTTTTTTCTTTTTTAAGAAAATAAATGAATTTCAACTTACAAGTTGTTAGATGTTGGAGCACTTGGTGATGTTCCTCCCCCCTCCCGCCCTTTACCCTCCTCCTCCGTGCCCCCACAGTACCGTACTTAGCCAGAACAAGGCGACTAAACCTAGTTTTAGTGGGAGTACGGGTAGTGCGCACTTATGAGGGTGATGAGCGATCATGAGGTAAGCCACGTTACGATGGCAACACTATTTATATTTTTATTTTTAGCCACAACGACATGGCAGGCAATTCCTTTCGCACTATATAACTGCTTGTTGAAGGGCCAGACAATCTATCCCTTGCACTAGAAGGGACAGGGACACTGGGAGAGGCCTCCGGAGGCACCACACTATCACCATGTGGTTCATTCTCCTTGTACTTTTTACACTTTCCCACCCCTCCACTCTCACCAGCAACATGAGAGACGGTTCAAAACTGTGATGAATGAGAAATCAGCACAAGCCAGGAGAAAATGGTGGGAAATGTGGGTCCAAGTTACATCCCGTGCTGCTGAACTACAAAGGGTGACTGGTATGGTCACTCATGTAACCTTGGTGCCAGATCACACCAATGTTGCCAAATGTGAGTCTTGCGCATCTAGCATTCATACGCAAACATATAATAATTGTATTAATTTTTTTTTTAGTTCATACGCAAACTTGCATATGAAAACCCTAAAGCGATAATTCAGATCATATGCAAATGAAAACCCCAAGTGTGTTAACACCTGTTATGTAGAAGAATCGTCAGTTCTACTGCAATTTCATTGTCTAATATTCATCATATATCATTCAAGATTAAGATGCTTTTATTAACAATGCTAACAGTAAAACATATGCACAGAAGTGTTACAGCTAATAGGAGCTATCTCAATATTTTGGTTATATGTTAAATACAATATCCAAAATTATATGACACATAATATCCAACAATATATGACATAAAAATCATATATAATAGGGCAAGTCTAATTTGGGGAAATGTCACCTACTTCCATATTCTGGGGCTATGAAGTGCATGTTCTTCATGTCATCCCTGCAGGTCTTGACATGGGAGTGTATTTGATCTGGTGCCACTGGAAAATAGGACCTTTGTCAGTTTTCCTTCCTTCCGTGACTTGAGAAGCACCACCCTCAGTGCTCAGTGAGCTGTTGGTGAGTCAGAACACACCCTGGTTGTCTAAGGGGAAACATTTGCCCAGACTTACCAATGTGGGTGTCCTGCTCCAAGCAACCAGGATGCACTGAGGTCACCTCCAGCTCACTGCACCCCCATCAGCCCACCGTGGTCACAGCAACGCTCACATTCCCCTGGTTAGTCCCTGCGTGAACGACGCTGTGACCCAGAGAACTGATGACCAAACAGTCTTGTAAATTTACAGAAGCTGTTTATGGGATCTGTCAAGTGATGGACACACAGGGGACACAACTACACTGATGGACTATGGATTATGTCCCTTAACAGTGACATTACATGCACAAGGATTCAGCCCAAACAAGCAGATCCCAAACACAAAGTCCCAAGTCACATCACATTTTATGTACAATATTACATAAAATAGTATTACATTTTAACTTCGGGTAGCACCTATCTCAAGCCACTATTCTCTTAAGAAAATCAACCTTACTGTCTATTACCTTAAATCTACATCAACCAAAAAGTATTTGGTAAATAACTTTACCTGAGCCAATCTTGACGAGGCCGTTGTGCTGGATAAATATGGTGTCGGTGGTGAGGTTGCCGTGGATGATAGGGGGGGAGCACGAATGCAAGTAACTGTAACAAATATAATAGTAAATGGTAATAGGCCCCCCAGGAAGGCTTTTGCAGCAGATCCCTCATAGCCTGGCCTGGGAGACACTCCACACCACCCACTCACTGTCCCAACTATGGACCAGCTCACACAGTGTGCCTTGCAGTGGTTCATGGTTAATAACAGCACACACCACCTGACCCCTGTGATCAGGCAGTGACTGGCCACAAGAGAGGCCAACAACACAACGTGTGAGACACCAGAGTGAGGACTGATATGGTGGGTGAGGGAGACTCCTGGCCTTGCACACGCCACACGTCTCCTCCTCCTGTGGCCCCACCAGCACATGAGCTGCTGGCCTGCCGGATTGTCGGGGCCACACAGCCTCTGTTACCAGGGAGAAACTTTGAGGAAAACTCAAACTGGGTTAATGATATGAGGGAATGAGTCCTGCGTGTGCCAGAGGACTTGTATTAAGGGAAAATTGCCGTAATGTATTAACTGTCGTTCTCAACTACAACAAATAAGAGAGAACTTAAAGATATTGTACAATAATGGTGTCAGTTCGGTAAAAAATTAATATATATGTTCATACAAGCATATTCAAAATGTATCTTGCAACAAACTTTTCTATGAACAACATCCACTAATCCAACTCGCACTCCAATCAATAAGTTCTACTCTTTTAGTTTAGGTTGAGGACTCTGTACATAACCCGGGGTCATCTGTAACCACTCGTCAACCCGGTGACTATCTAGCTGCTAGCCTGAGCCAGAAGAGTCGAGAGTCACAGCAACACACCTGAGAGCTGAGAGGATCTGAGTGCACCAGCGTTTCCAAGACTGCAGAGGTAATTTCTTCACATTCTTTTTGGTCAGTTTCAGGAACTTCTTGAGTGAGCCTGAAGACATGTATTCCGTGATGAAAACAACCTGTAAAAAAATGAACACTATAAGTACCATGCTACACAACCTCAACAGTCACAACAACACGTACAGTAGTGGCTATACACCTGGGTCTCGTTCTTAAAGACACCTACCTATACACTTAACACACCTTTATGTACAAAATAATGGCCTTTGTATTGCAACACGGAATTTAAACATTACCCAAACTCAGCTCACTATGTTAACATTGATTAAGCCGATTGGTGAATTGTGCTGTTTAATAGGTCTTCTGTACACAACCAGCTTTATAGATAAAATATATATAAATTGAGAGCCAGAGCCAGGTCAGTGATCACACACCAAATAAGTCAATTCTACCACTGAAAGACACTGGTTCTCTATAAAAGCTTTAACCTAACACTATGATACCAGCAGCACAGATCTCTCCAGTGACAATTAACCTTTTCAATGGTCAGTGAGAATGTTATATAATACATACGTGTACACATTTAGTACTACTCTTTGAATTTTTTCCAATACCTGTACAGAATATTCAGACTTATGTGCTCATGGTGGGAGGCCATGCGAGATTAGACATTTCAAGAGGCGGCCCTAACTACATAGAGCATTACACGACCAACAACGACAATAATACTATCCTGGGCGTAAACTACCTTCCTCAAACAAGCTATAAATGAAACACAAAACAAAAACAAACACAGTAATTTCGAAGTTCATCAACCAAGTCCCCAGTCCACCAACACATCACTGATAATAATCCAACTTTCTCACTTTTCTTAGTTCTACAGCTTCTCCTTCAACACTGTTCCTCCTTTCGTTCATCCACCAACAACCTAATCTCCAATCGTCCTTAAGGTCACTTCCAATCATTTCTTTTCAATCGTCCTTAAAGTCACTTTCAATCAGTTCTTTTCAATCGTCCTTAAGGTCACTTCCAATCAGTTCTCTTCAATCGTCCTTAAGGTCACTTCCAATCAGTTCTCTTCAATCGTCCTTAAAGTCACTTCCAATCAGTTCTCTTCAATCGTCCTTAAGGTCTTCCAATCAGTTCTCTCCAATCGTCCTTACAGTCACTTCCAATCAGTTCTTTTCAATCGTCCTTAAAGTCACTTCGAATCAGTTCTTTTCAATCGTCCTTAAAGTCACTTCCAATCAGTTCTCTTCAATCGTCCTAAGGGTCACTTCCAATCAGTTCTTTTCAATCGTCCTTAAAGTCACTTCCAATCAGTTCTTTTCAATCGTCCTTAAGTCACTTCCAATCAGTTCTCTTCAATCGTCCTTAAAGTCACTTCCAATCAGTCTCTTCAATCGTCCTTAAAGTCACTAATCAGTTCTCTCCAATCGTCCTTAGTCACTTCCAATCAGTTCTCTTCAATCGTCCTTAAAGTCACTTCCAATCAGTTCTCTTCAATCGTCCTAAGGTCGCTTCCAATCAGTTCTCAATCGTCCTTAGTCACTTCCAATCAGTTCTTTTCAATCGTCTTTAAAGTCACTTCCAATCAGTTCTTTTCAATCGTCCTTAAGGTCACTTCCAATCAGTTCTCTTCAATCGTCCTTAAAGTCACTTCCAATCAGTTCTCTTCAATCGTCTTTAAAGTCACTTCCAATCAGTTCTTTTCAATCGTCCTTAAAGTCACTTCCAATCAGTTCTTTCCAATCGTCCTTACAGTCACTTCGAATCAGTTCTTTTCAATCGTCCTTAAAGTCACTTCCAATCAGTTCTTTTCAATCGTCCTTAAGGTCACTTCCAATCAGTTCTTTTCAATCGTCCTTAAAGTCACTTCCAATCAGTTCTCTTCAATCGTCTTTAAAGTCACTTCCAATCAGTTCTTTTCAATCGTCCTTAGTCACTTCCAATCAGTTCTTTTCAATCGTCCTAAGGGTCACTTCCAATCAGTTCTCTTCAATCGTCCTTAAAGTCACTTCCAATCAGTTCTTCTCAATCGTCTTTAAAGTCACTTCCAATCAGTTCTCTCCAATCGTCCTTAAAGTCACTTCCAATCAGTTCTCTTCAATCGTCCTTAAAGTCACTTCCAATCAGTTCTCTCCAATCGTCCTTACAGTCACTTCCAATCAGTTCTTTTCAATCGTCCTTAGTCACTTCCAATCAGTTCTCTTCAATCGTCCTTAAAGTCACTTCCAATCAGTTCTCTTCAATCGTCCTTAAGGTCACTTCCAATCAGTTCTCTCCAATCGTCCTTAGTCACTTCCAATCAGTTCTTTTCAATCGTCCTTAAAGTCACTTCCAATCAGTTCTTTCCAATAGTCCTTTAAGTCACTTCCAATCAGTTCTTTCCAATCGTCCTTAAGGTCATTTCCAATCAGTTCTTCCTTCAACAATTTAATGCTAGGTCACTCCTTCAAATTATTCAACTACTCAATCCTCCGTGTTGCTTGAGGTCACTTCCTATCCCTTCTGTTCCCATCTGTTTATTTGTTCCCATCTGTCTATTTCAGTTCCCATCTGTCTATTTCTGTTCCCATCTGTCTATTTCTGTTCCCATCTAACTATTTCTGTTCCCATCTGTCTATTTCTGTTCCCATCTGTCTATTTCTGTTCCCATCTATCCCTTCTGTTCCCATCTGTCTATTTCTGTTCCCCTCTGTCTATTTCTGTTCCCATCTGTCTATTTCTGTTCCCCTCTGTCTATTTCTGTTCCCATCATTTCTGTTCCCCTCTGTCTATTTCTGTTCCCATCTATCTATTTCTGTTCCCATCTATTTCTGTTCCCATCTGTCTATTTCTGTTCCCATCTATTTCTGTTCCCCTCTGTCTATTTCTGTTCCCATCTATTTCTGTTTCCCCTCTGTCTATTTCTGTTCCCCATCTTTTCTGTTCCCCTCTGTCATTTCTGTTCCCATCTATTTCTGTTCCCATCTGTCTATTTCTGTTCCCATCTATTTCTGTTTCCCCTCTGTCTATTTCTGTTCCCCATCTATTTCTGTTCCCTCTGTCTATTTTCTGTTCCCATCTATTTCTGTTCCCTCTGTCTATTTCTGTTCCCATCTATTTCTGTTCCATCTATCTATTTCTGTTCCCTCTGTCTATTTCTGTTCTATCTATTTCTGTTCCCCTCTGTCTATTTCTGTTCCCATCTGTCTATTTCTGCTCCATCTGTCTATTTCTGCCCCCATCTGTCTTTATTTGTTCCCATCTGTCTATATTTGTTCTCATTTGTCTATATTTGTTCCCATCTGTCTATTTCTGTTCCCATCTGTCTATTTCTGTTCCCATTTGTCTATTTCTGTTTCCATCTGTCTATATTTGGTCCCAACTGTCATTCTGTTCTCATCTGTCTATATTTGTTCCCATCTGTCTATTTATGTTCCCATCTGTCTATTAATGTTCACATCTGTCTATTTCTGTTCCCATCTGTCTATTTCTGTTCCCATTTGTCTATTTCTGTTCCCCATCTGTCTATTTCTGTTCCCATCTGTCTATTTCTGTTCCCATTTGTCTATTTCTTTCCCCCAGCTGTCTATTTCTGTTTCCATCTGTCTATATTGGTCCCAACTGTCTATTTCTGTTCCCATCTATCTATTTCTGTTCCCCTCTGTCTATTTCTGTTCCCATCTATTTCTGTTCCCCATCTGTCTATTTCTGTTCCCATCTGTCTATTTCTGTTCCCATCTATCTATTTCTGTTCCCCTCTGTCTATTTCTGTTCCCATCTATTTCTGTTCCCATCTGTCTATTTCTGTTCCCATCTATCTATTTCTGTTCCCCTCTGTCTATTTCTGTTCCCATCTATTTCTGTTCCCATCTATCTATTTCTGTTCCTCTGTCTATTTCTGTTCCCATCTATTTATGTTCCCATCTGTCTATTTCTGCTCCCATCTGTCTACATTTGTTCCCATCTCTCTAATTTTGTTCCCCATTTTGTGTATTTTTGTTCCCAAATTATTAATATCATTATTTTTTGCGTCTATCACTTTCATTCCCTTTTTTTTCCTTCAAATTTCCACTTCCATTCACGATTCCTTCTTCTTTCATCATGGTTTTTCTTCCCATTTGCATTCCACAGTCAAAATGTTCACCAGTGCTTGTTTTATCTTTTAACTATTTGAATGAATTGAAATCACCAATACAACCATACAGTATATAGCCTGGATCACGCGCACCTACAGTGATTTACTTGCACAGTATATCATATGTTGGAACTCATTTGCATACTGGATTCAATACACTTTTCTAAAGACAAAAGTAAACTGGACAATTTATAATATTGCATACAGTATATATGTGCCAGCTAGGATAAGTGTGTGAACAAGTGGTGGTGTAGTGTGAACAAGTAGTGGTGTAGTGAGAACAAGTGGTGGTGTAGTGTGAACAAGTGGTGGTGTAGTGTGAACAAGTGGTGGTGGTGTAGTGTGAACAAGTGGTGGTGTAGTGTGAACAAGTGGTGGTGTAGTGTGAACAAGTGGTAGTGTAGTGAGAACAAGTGGTTGTAGTGAACAAGTGGTGGTGCAGTGTGAACAAGTGGTGGTGTAGTGTGAACAAGTGGTGGTGTAGTAGAACAAGTGGTGGTGTAGTGTGAACAGTGGTGGTGTAGTGTGAACAAGTGGTGGTGTAGTGAACAAGTGGTGGTTAGTGAGAACAAAAGTGGTGGTGTAGTGTGAACAAGTGGTGGTGTAGTGTGAACAAGTGGTGGTGGTGTGAACAAGTGGTGGTGTGAGGAGACAAGTGGTGGTGTAGTGAGAACAAATGGTGGAGGTGAGAACAAGTGGTGGTGTAGTGAGACAAGTGGTGGTGTAGTGAACAAGGTGGTGTGGTGTGAACAAGTGGTGGTGTAGTGTGAACAAGTGGTGGTGTAGTGTGACAAGTGGTGGTGTAGTGTGAACAAGTGGTGGTGCAGTGTGAACAAGTGGTGGTGTAGTGTGAACAAGAGGTGGTGCAGTGTGAACAAGTGGTGGTGCAGTGTGAACAAGTGGTGGTGTAGTGTGAACAAGTGGTGGTGTAGTGTGAACAAGTGGTGGTGTGAGTGAACAGGAGGTGGTGTAGTGTGAACAGGAGGTGGTGTAGTGTGAACAGGAGGTGGTGTAGTGTGAACAGAGGTGGTGTAGTGTGAACAAGTGGTGGTGTAGTGTGAACAAGTGGTGGTGCAGTGTGAACAAGTGGTGGTGGTGTAGAGTGAACAAGCGGTGGTGTAGTGTGAACAAGCGGTGGTGGTGTAGTGAGAACAGGTACTGGTGTAGTGTGAACAAGTGATGGAGTAGTGTGAACAAGAACAAAGAACAATTTGAACACAAGAGGTTATGGAACAGTCTTTTAACACATACCCTGGGCTTTTCATTTTTGCTATCAATCCAGTATTTGTGTAACTTGACGATGTTGGGATGGTCCAGCTGGGTCAGGTTATCAAACACTAACCGAATCTTCTCCTCTTGCTCCCGGAAGTTTCGCCGCTCACTAAACCGCACCTGAAAGAAAGACGTCACGTTATTGGGTGAACTTATATATAATGCTGGTGTGTTTGTGAAGTTAGCTGGAAACCCTCAAACCTGGAACTCTCCAATAGCCGGAATTTTCAGGAAAATAAAATTTTCGGAATGATTTTCCGAGGGGCACGTTTTCAAGGAAATTCCAAGAAAATTTTCCTGATACCCAGAAAATTCCGGGGATCCAGAATTTTTTTCCGGGTTAGAGAGATGATGTAATGGGCAATTTCTGGAACTTCCAAGAAAATTTTTCCATTAAATGGAAAATTTCGGGGAGAGGGATTTTTTCCGGCTTTGGGAGTCTTCGCGTTACCTAGAAATCTCTCATTCCAGGAAGTGCTCTGCACCAGTTGTTCCGGCTAACAGAGATATCACTAATATCCTTATTCAGCTTGAAAAACCAAATCAGTAAGAAATCTAGAAAACTTAACGATTTCTTCATGACGCAGATTATTTGAGAACCTAAGATCAAACAGTAAACAACAATGGCGTCCATTGACATAATTTTGAACTCCTCAAAATGTGACAATACATTTACTAGCTTAACAGTGGAACATTTTAAGACAGAAAGATTTATAAAGTGATGCAGGATAACCAGGCAGAGAAGTGTACAATAAAGGCTAAAATATCATCAAATTATATTATCTACCGGACGCGTCAGGTGATTGGCTGAGTGGTGGTGAACGTCGATTTTCATGATTTTTTTCTTCCTCGTAATACCAACACGAGAACGCACCTTATAATATGCGGGGAAAAATCCACAGTGATGTTAAACTCCAAACCTCCCTTACCTACATGACCATGACCCTCGACACGAAGCCACGCCAGACATGTAACAAATGGGAAGGAAATTTTGGACACACACAAAAAAGGGTGAAAGAATAGCTGGACAGTATTTTCACATCCTTTCTGCATGTGTGGCAGAGTGTGGAAGGGAAAGAGAGAGACTTTACGAGCTGAAGACAACAACACCAGCAGGAAGACAGACACAGACTCAACAGAGGAGGAAATGACAAGACAATAAGACGAGAATGAAGTGGGAGACACACACGCAGGATGAATCACAAGGACACAGCCTTTACTAGATAACAGTTGCTGACACATATGACACAGTGGTAGACACATGGTGGTACAGGCGACATACTGACACATATGACACAGTGGTAGACACATGGTGGTACAGGTAACATACAGACACATATGACACAGTGGTAGACACATGGTGGTACAGGCGACATACTAACACATATGACACAGTGGGAGATATACTGACACATGACAGATACAGCACATTGACACAGACATATAAAAGGACATGGGTAAATATAGTGTCACAAGGCAGAGTTCGACACACAAACATTCAGTCAGAGGCAATATGTTGAGGATTAAGGCAGAACAGCTGGGGAAACCTCTCAGTCAGTCAGTCAGTCAGTCAGTCAGTCAGTCAGTCAGGTAGGTAGTCAGATAGGTAGTCAGACAGTCAGTTAGGTAGTCAGTTAGTCGGTCAATAAATTAATCAGTCAGTCAGGTAGTAGGTTAAACAGTCAGTCAGTCAGCTAGTTAAACAGTCAGTCAGTCAGTCAGTCAGTCAGTCGGTTAGTTACTCAGTCAGTCAGTCAGTTAATCAGACAATCCATCAGTCAGGAGAGGCATTCATACAACAGCTAAATAAGAAATCGAAATTATTCACACTTTTTCACTCACTCATGGCTAAGTTATTTGCTAATTGATGACTCGATTTTACCTTCAGTGTCGTCAAAGGTTCATATGAAGATTAACCCCTCAGTTTATTTTACCTGTTGACTGTACATCCTAATGCTAACCTAACCTAAACTTAACTCATTACTCAACCTAAGCTAACCTAACAATAACTCATTACTCAACCTAAGTTCACCTAACCTCAACTCATTGCTCAACCTAAGCTAAGCTAACGCTTAACTCATAACTCAACTTAACCTAACTTAACCTAACTTAACTTTAACCTAACATAGAATTAAGGTGTTTAATCTTCAGGTGATCCTACCCCTTCACCTATACAATCATCAATATTAAGTAGAGATACGAAAAAAAATCTGGGTGATCAATGTAAACAAAGTGGTGATATTTTACGATTTCGGGCAAGCATAAATGAGTATTGTATAGTCTAATTTATTTTATTACAGCGATTTTCAACCAATGTGCCGCGGCATATTAGTGTGCCGCGAAGCATCCGGAGGTGTGCCGCGGGAGTTTAAATAGCATTTGGATACGTTTTGACATTACTGGTACTTTTATGGAGCGCATTAAACTCCTTTTTTTCAATGATGCAATTAATAAACAAATGTGTTCTTCATTAAAAGCCCAAATGGCAGTTTTAAATTCTTCTTAATTCCTTAGTGTACAGGAGTAGATCCGCCAATCAAATCTATCCTTAAATATTGATGGTGTGCCTCGACCATTTTAGTGCCTGGCTCACTGTGCCGTCAGATGAAAAGGGTTGAAAATCACTGGAACATAACACAGCTGAAGAGCGAGTATGTCAGATTGGGAACTGTCTCAGGCGGGTCAGACGGGGTTTGTCTCAACATCTCCACACCTCCTGTTGTAGGTCAAATGGGATCCAGTCCTACTGAGCTTGTCTTCACTTGACTTGATTCTTCCCCTCCACCCCACCTGACCTGACCTGACTATTAAACCTGAAGCCTTTTAGGGAGATGGTTTCGTCAGGGGTGAGTTTCATTAGGATTGGAACCTATTATGACTGGAGCCTAAGAGTAAGGATAGGGTTGAGGTATATTATAGTGCAATAGGGCTGAGGCTTAATAGGACTGGAAATCAATCCCAGTGGTTAGGATAGGTTAGGTTGTTATCCCTACTAACCCACCCGACCACCATGGGTTCAAGCGTCAACAAATAGGGAAGCTAATTTTTCATCAATCAAACGAAACTTTTGGAAAGAAGCGAATTATCAAGTATGAGAGAGAGAGATTTTGACTTCCTCGCTCGCTCCCAAAATATTTGAAGGAGGACCATATTCCGCATCCAAAATAAATATTGCGAAAATCATACCGCCAAAACGCTTCTCTGCCTCCAGGTGTCAAAAATGTTTACAAGGTAAAACTTGCGAGGGGAAAAAGGTAAATATATGAAGGAAAATACCTATCTCTTCTCTCCCCAATCCTGCCTCTTCCTCAACTCTCTTCCTCAACCTCTTCCCCAATTCCCTTTCTCTCTTCCTCAATCCCCTTTCTCCTTCCTCTTACTCCCCTTTCTCTTCCCTCTCACCCCTCTTCCCCTCCCTCTCTCTTCCTCTACCCCTCTCTTTCTCTCTCTCTTCCCTCTTCTCCCCCTTTCTCTCTCTCCTCTCCTTCTCTCTCTCTTCCCCTACCTCCTTTTCTCTCTCTCTCTCTCTCTCTCTTCCCTCTCACCTCCTTTCTCTCCCTTCCTCTACCCCCTTTCTCTCTCCCCACTTCCCCTCCTCTTCCCCACCCCCTCTCTTTCTCTCTCCTTCCCCACCCCCCCTTCCTCTCACCCCCCTTCTCTTCCCCCCCTCTCCTTCCCCATTCCCCCTCTCCCCCACCCTCTTCCTCCCACCCCTCTTCCTCTACCCCCTTTCTACCCATTCCTCTCTTCCTCAACTTCTCTCTTCCTCAACTTTCTCTCTCTCATTCTCTCTTCCTTAACTACTACCCTCTCTCTCTCTCTCTTCCTCTACTACTTCTCCCTCTCTTTCTCAACTTATCTCTCTCTCTCTCTTCCTCAACTTCTCCCTCTTTCTCTTCCTCAACTACTTATCTCTCTCCTTTATCTTTCCTTCCTTCTTACTTTTTCTGTTCAATTCTCCCGGTGACCCAGATGAAAGGAAGTCGGATATATCCACGCCCTCATACCTAACCTGACATATCCACGCCCTCATACCTAACCGGACATATCCACGCCCTCATAACTAGCCGGACATTTCCACGCCCTCATACCTAACCGGACATATCCACGCCCTCATAACTAGCCGGACATTTCCACACTCCTCATACCTAACAGGACATATCCAAGCCCTCATAACTAACCGTACTTATCCACGTCCTCATACTAACAGGACATTATCCGGACATTATTACGCCTGCAAAGCTGAAGTTGAACTACCTTTAAACATATACTGTACTGGTATTTACTGTAAAACGAAATGACAGACTGAGCCTCAGTCACAGAAAAGCCCAATCCAGAGCTGAGCTGAGCTAACCTAACCTAACCTAACCTAACCTAACCTAACCTAACCTAACCTAACCTAACCTAACCTAACTTAACCTAACCATTACGATTGGTGGTTCAGCCCTAGAATCCTAAAGTCAATTTCCCCAGATCGGATCCCGTGGTACTTAGGGACCCCCAACCTATATTTAATACTGTATTAAACACCCTAGAATACAACAGAATAAATCACTAATATGTATACAATAGAATAAAATCACTTATGGCTACAATTGAATAAAAATCACTATTATGGCTACAATAGAAGTCATTATTATGGTTACAATTTAATGTCCCTATATTCATGCTAAAAAATACAAAAACAATATCTGGTTACAAACGAATACAATCATAGTAATCCGCAAAGCAACAAAAATCATTATAATCCGATTACAAGAAACCACTTTCGGTTATCAAGGATGTTATCACTGTATCCAGTTATAAAGTAACAATAATCACTGTATTCAGGTTGCAAATGAAAAAATAAAGGTATCCTGGTTACTGTAACCTAATTTACAACACTGGTCAGAAAAGAAACCAATATCGGCATACAGTATATATCCAGAATAAACTATCATATCCTGTTACAAAATAATCTTTCACTATATCCTGTTTAAAATGAAAAAAGGAGCTTTACATTAGTTACAACATAAAAAATATCTATATCCTGGTTACAATAATAACTATATCCTGTTTTCAATTTTTTTTAGCTATATCGTGATAACAAAGAAACAAAAATTAGATAATGCTTACAATAATCACTGTATCCTGTTTTAAAAATACAAATATTTATCCTGCTTACTACAATCAGTTTCGTTTCACAAAGGCAATATAAATAGCAATATCCTGGTTATAAAAAATGATCGAGACTGAATTTGGCAGACTTGAACTATATAGCAGTGTGTTATGTCTAGCGTAAACAAATACAATCCCTCCGCTATTTTACTCGTCTATTTCCACGACAAACAATAAATAATTTTGGCAACTAATAGATGTACAAAAAATCAATGACGTTGATAAAATATATAAATTAGGGAAAAGGTGTTAAAAATTTACGGAGGTTCGGTTTGGCAACATCATTCGTCTGGGTCGATGCAGCTCAAGGGCGTTCGCTTCTGGAAAAATATGGACTGGCCCGCGTGCGCAAATCACACCCACGGCCCACTCAAGTGTAAAATTTTAACAAAGCGTGAAAAAAAGATAGGCGACTACATCCATCATCAAAAGTATATGTTATACCTTGAGATTATCAAGTAAGAAATAAGACAGTGTTTAAAGCGTGTGACACGTACGCTATAGGGAACAGCGAGCCAGACATGTACAGTATAGCTAAGGTTTGTCGTTGGTACCCCTGACTAGACAGGCTCCTCAGACACACGCAGATTTCACAATTTTACACAAATTCGACATTGAAATTTTGAAATAAGTATAAGTTTGTAGTTTACTTATATTCTTAACGTTAGTTGCACACACTTACCTAGTAATGTTTACCAGGTACCTAAAGTTGAATAAACGTTACTGGACGTGTCCTCCCACGTAACAAAGAAAACGTTTGTTGTTAAAGCTGGGTGAGGGAGGACTATATTCACTTAAAGTTCAGGTCTGTTGTGTAAAAGGTAACACCAAGATGTTTTTGGAACTTTTGTACGTATGTGTGATTAATGAAGACGTTTATCATATACCTAGGAACTTAAAAATATGTGCCCTGCTAAATTGGAACAAATACAAACGAAAAACCCGGGTGCTGGAGATACGGTACAGGAAGTATCTCCAACACACCAGAATTTTTTTTACATGTTGAAGTTCAGAGGTTCGGAGTTGGCTTGGCATTGATTTTTAGGACCATGGACATAAGATTTTTTTATACCGAGATTTTAAAACAGCATCGTGTCAACCTACAACCTCGGGTAAGATACGTTATTGGTTGGGTTATTCTAGACTACATAAGAAAAAATATTCAACATTTATGGAAATATTCTAGTTAAAAATCAGGTCACCTGATGAATAGGCACCCCAGGTTATTTCACCTAACATTAACTATATCCTAACCTAA